AGCTTATTGGTGCTTTTTTTCATAAACCATAGTTTCGCCCTCTGAAAGTTTCTGTTGCTTAACAGATGCAAGTTCAGCATGAGCTCATCAAGAAGGCGGGACGAAGTGCTAAGGAATTTTATTATAATCCATTAGTCTCTATCCAAAACAATTCTTCCGTCTATCAAGGCCGATAAACGAATCTTTCCTTCCATATGGAAGGTCGAATCACTTTTACGTTGCGAAATTTCCCTTATAATCGACATGTTTAATGAAATAGTGGTAAATTAGTCCGTTAGTCGCCAGTCTTTTCTTTTTTGCTTCGTTGGTCTTGTGATCATTTATTGGCATTTCATATTATTTTGTGCGCCTATAAGTCACACCAGAAAGTTGTCCTTATTCACGATAATTCATCTGAATTATAATATAATGACTGGCCCTGCATAAACATCTCGATACTTTTCTAGATATGAAGAGAAGCTGGTTTTTGTAGAATCCCCTAATAGATTGATACTGGCGCGCCTTTCATTCCATTTGAGAGGGTGGGTCGAAGAGATTCGTAGATTGGCCTCTCCGGATGTCGCAGAAGGGTTGCCTTGGACTTTTGTTTGTTGAACTATGCAAAGAAGACCTTGGCTCACCGTCTTACGACCCCGATGATTCCGTGCTGAGCTTGCGTCCGTTCTGTGACGGACATCGTCAGAGCCAGAAACCATTATTCACGAAAAATTACCAATGACACTAAACCGAGAAAGGGTGGCTAGCTGTTATGTGAAGTTTTATAAGTCTCCTAAAATAATTCCAGCAAAATAAAGCAACTTTATTAAACTGAGAGTTATATCATTCTATCCTGAACATTACACACCTAAACACAATCTCACATATACTTGCAAACATGAGTGCTGGGTAATATCTGCATATGTTATATAATGAAACAAACATTTGTGGCCAGAAAGAGTAGTGACATGCCACTATATAAACAATATAAAAAAAGACTAATCACATAATCCAAATAATTAATTTGCCATGATTATCTGATGCATCTGTTGATTATAAATTTTTGTCTTCCCTAATTTTGGTTCATTTTTCCTTTATAACCTTTTTGCTACTATTTCCTTTGAGAAATTTGCACTTTTTCACTGGGGCACTTTTCTTTAGATAATTATTTTAATAGCATAATCATTACCTTCTGGCCGAGTTTACTGTGCTTCTGCATAATGTCTGTCCTTCGCGCAGTGCCTGGCTGTTGGACTTGCCGTCAACTATCTGGCCCCCTCCTGCTCGCTAGGGATTTCACATTCTATTTCCAGCTCGGTCACCACCGGCTCTGTCAGTACGGATCCGGTACCTGACGCCCAGACCACCGATTCAAACTCGCCCACAAGCTGGTGGTCAGATTGGCTGCTTGATTTTTATTCTTACTCAACGCTTACATCCAACTTATCAACGCCAGCTTGCAATGATCCTGGTCCTCTAGCCAGATCACGTTGCCATTTGCTCTTCTATGCTCTCTTACAACGCCTCCTCGAAGCGGGTTCCGGGCCCGGCTTATTGGTGGAAACTCTAAGAATACTCTCCCGTGTCTGGTCTGCTCCATCTTTGCAGTCTTCTGTATCTAATGCCGAGGATACGGCAGCTTCAAACTCGATAGATAGCAAGTTCTTTGCTCGGCGATTTGATTTGTCGTCTGATCCTAGTCGGATCGGCACAAGATCGACAGATCTATTGGCCTGGATCCTTCATCTCATCGAGTTAATTATTTTCAGAAAGCCCGACGAGTCTTCATCTGACTTAGATGATGATTTTAATGATGATTTGGATATATCCAAGACTCAGACCGCCTTAAGTTATAAGGCGACTTTGAAGAGACTCTATCAAGTACGTTGTTATTTTGACTTTTAAAGTTGGCCTTTTAATACATTTATATTGCACAGTGATCTGAGTATATCCCCAAATTCTCATGAATCTCATTTTAATCTATGGTATTTTTTTGAAATTCTGCTCTTCACCTTCTAGTGACCATATGATAATTATTGTATTCCTTTATGCTGTTTAAACTATAGTCTTGCACAATAGTTGGTTGATTCCACGAGTCTAAAACACTTCTTTTTGGTGCCCTTAGTACAGGCATAGACTTCATCTCAGTCTGGCCTCAGACAATCAAATGTTACTCGTTTTTAAGCATTTGAGGCTTGCATGTTTTACTGAGCGCCTGCGCGTGTCCTATTATTTCCATCTATTATGCTAGAAAAAAGCTAACATAATTATATTGTGGACATGAGGGTCGAGATGGTGTGGCCTTTTTTGCTTTTTCCTTTAGCTGCGTAGTGTTGTTTACTTGGC